AAGGAAAGCCCTGGGAAAGGGCTCTGCCCCAGCATTGGCTGAGGCTTGCAGGTCAAAATAAAATATGAAATCATTACAAAAAAATAAAAAACAGTGCTTGATCATTACAACCTCCAGGAGTTTCCCTCCCCACCCTGAGTGCATTGACACATTGTCTGCACAGCCCCTGTGGACTAAAGAGGATTGTACCAAGTGCATGACAAGCTAAGGAATCACAACTATTTCCATTCCACAGCTTTGGAAGCAGGACACAAGTGAGACAAACAGTCCCCCATGCCAGGACATTGTCACCACACCCCCTAAGGGACAGCTTGCATCCCAAACCCACCCAACCCAAACCTCATGGGTTATTCACCAGTGCACTGCAAGGAGGGGGAGGAAGGAAGGGAGATGAATTTCATGTACATGGAAACCTTTTTGTACACTTAGGAATGGAGATGAACAGATTTAAAATTAACTGGCTGAGTTCACTGCTGGGCAAGTGATCTAAAATGGCCAATAAATAATTTATGCCAGCACCATCCATCACTGTGCAGCCCGGCCAGTGACACTGCCCATGTCGGGGGCTCGCTTGGTGAAAAGAGACAACTTAATTCAGCACAAAGTGAATAACCCAAAATCCCATAAATGATTCATTGCTGGATTAAAAGCTAGAGATTTCTCCATAAATTTCTCTGCCCTGCATTAAATATGCAGATGATTGTCTGATGTTTATTAACTACTGGTGGCTTAGTTAAGGATGACACCGGCTCTGGTGTTTCAGAGCACCTTTGAAGCCATGAATCTTCATTAGATGTGCATTTAAGCATGAAGAGGGGTTACCTACCAGGATTCAGTGTTCACTTACATCAGTAGAACTGCAGAAAATGTATATGAGATAAGAGAGTCAGGCCGTAGTATACTGTGTTTTAGAAAACATAAAAATAGACAGGAAGGACCATGAGGACACTGGATTTATTCCCTAATTTGGATTACCTACCATACACTTCTCCTAGGTATTAAAAAATACCAACCCCCTCCCAAAAAAAACCCAAAACACACCCCCACTAAATTTTCCTTTTTTTTTTCTAGATACTTAAAAAAAGAAGCTGCATTTTGAAATAGTCAGAGAACATTCTGCTTCTTTTCTTCTAAATAATTTAAAAAAAAAGTTATTTTGGGAAGTGGCAGATTTCCCTTCCCCTTGGAGAAGGGTCAGTTCTTGAAAGACTAAAGAAAGGCAATGAACTTTTACCAGAGATAATTTCCCAGCACCTTCCTCCCCAATCCTTCCACTGGTATTTGCACACTCCAATTTGCCTCTCTCTTCCCAGTGTCCTCATGATCTTTCCTGTCTCAGTTTCAAACTACTTGGAGCTCTTTAGCTGAGGTTAGAAGTCCTGTGAGGAGAGGCTGAGGGAGCTGGGGGTGTTTAGCCTGGAGAAAAGGAGACTCAGGAGGAACCTTCTTGCTCTCAGCAGCTCCCTGAAAGGAGGTTGTGTCCAGGTGGGGACCAGGCTCTGCCCCCAGGAAACCAGCAACAGGACAAGAAATGGCACAAGCTGCACCAGGGAAGGTTCAGGTTGGACATCAGAAAGAATTTCTTCTCTGAAAGCACTGTTGGGCATTGGAAGGGCTGCCCAGGGAGGTGGTGGAGTCCCCAGCCCTTGAGGTGTTGAAGGAACTGTCCCCCAGTGCTCTGGTGTGGGTGACAAGGTGGGATCAGCCATGGGTTGGACTCAATGATCTTGGAGATCTTTTTGAGCCTCACTGATTCTGCGACTCTGCACTACAGGGTGAGGAAATGAGGGTTCTCTGTGGGAAGCCCCACTCCAATCAGTGTTCCTCTTAGCTCCTAAACACTCTCCAGAGTGATTCCTTGGAGGGCTCCTTGCCAAGACCCCCGTCCTGATGAACTGTAGGAGGGAGTGTAGGCTGAGATGAGCTGTGAGTTTGTTTAGGGCTGACATCTCCTTTCCCAGGTCACTGCTTCCACAGTGTGATTGCAGGAGCTGCTGAGTCTTGGGGTTTGTGTTTTAAATTAGCAAGGGAAACCAAAACCACCCTGCTCTCAGCTGGGGTTGGACAGCAGCGGGAAGAGGAAACCAAGAATTGCGTGCTCACCCCAGCCTCAGGAGCACAGGAAAACCAGGGGGTCACTGAGACTGGCAGGAAATTGTGTTGCTGGAGGCCACATGAGGCAGAGCCAAGCGTGCTGAAAGCATTCCCTGGAGCCATGAGTGAACTGCTGGCTGGGACCTCCATCGTCACTGAGGAGGCTGCATTGATTCTGCTTGGTGTCAGCAAATCTGCATCACCTTTACAGCCTCTTCTCATCTCTCCAGATGTTTCTCTGCTCAGTCTTTGCAGCTCAATTTTGCCATCTGCTGTCATCTCTGTGGCAGCACGTCCTATTTCCTCTTTCTACCAGGCTAAAATTTTCCACTTTTTCATGCATTCACCTCACACTGTGTGGTTATCTCTGTTCTTCCTCAAGTCCCATGATGCTATTTATTCTTATTTCTAATTTCCTATGTACTCAGCCACATTCTTCCCTTCTGCTTGCTCTTTCTTAAGCCCCAATTACATTTCACCTTTGAAACCAAGAGATTTATTTATATTATCCTTAAAAAATGCCTGGAAAAGCACATTAAGGCTAAGAAACAAACCTGGAAACATAATGAAATGTGCTGCTGAGATGGAAAGGGACCATGAGAACAGTCAGCTCCAGTAAAGTCTATTAAGAGAGGTCTCTTATTAATCTCACAATGATATTTAATTCATTCCTCTGGTTCCTCTTTAAAGGGTTTGTATTCCTAACTCAGCACTTGCCTTTCTTATTTTATTTCCTCCTGTTTCCTCATTAGTCAATCCCATATCCCAAAATATTAAAATCTCCCATTTTAATTGCTTTTCTGTACCTCCTCCATATTAATCTGGCAGTTCAGTCATTATCTCCACACGTCAGACCTCCTTCACCCTCTTTAATTGGGCATTTTGATACAGACACTTGTCCACAAAGTACTGGGGACCAGTAAAAATTATTACTTGGACCAAAAGCTAAATCCTTCATTAATTAACCGCCTTGCTCCACAGAGCCAAGCCAGACTCTCCAGATATAACAACATTTAGGCTTGACATGGACTCCAAACAAATTAAAACCTGCTTTGCTCTGCCGCAGGCTCCCTGTGCAAGCCCATAAATGCTGAGATAACTCCAGCAGCTCCAAGTGCTGGGGAGAGGCCTCACACCTGGGTCATTTCAGCTCGTGGTGCTTGGCAGTTTGAGGGGTGGTGGAGGCCAGGATGGAGGGACTGCAGTTTTGGGGAAATGCAGGGTGGTTTTAAAGCAAATGGCTTTGCTTCTCTGCCCTCTGTGTATTGCTTTAATCTGTTACCAGAGGGTTTTTTGGCTAGAGTGCTTTATCTTAAGTGTATTTTTTTTTGCCCTTCAAGGTAAAAGTCTTAAAATAAAGGCCAGCATTTCCAGATGCCAATGACATTCTCTCCCACAGCCTTTTCTTTCTAAAAACTTGCTGCTTTCATCCAGCTTTTCTCCACTAGACCCAGAGACTGCGTTCTGAGGCTTCAGTTGATTTTGGAAAGCAGCATTTCCTCCAGCTACATTTAAAAGGCTCACTTTAACCTTTCCCTGAACATACTGACAGCCCCAGTCCTCACAAATAACTCCAGTGAATTTTCATTTAAATATAACCCTCCCCAAATCTTTGCCTCCAATTGCCATTCTAAACTCAAAGCTCTGCCTCAATAATTGGGCTGAATAAAAAGATAAATAAGAATGCTCAGTGGTATAAGTTACACTTACAGCTTCCCTGCAGCTTCTCAGGGCTGTATTTCCACGTGGCTGATCAGATCAAACTCACTTTGTTGGCTCCCATCTCTTCTCCCCTTGTACAACTCCCCAAAACCAGGGCTTAAGTCCAGCCAGCACCACAGCAAATGTGCTAGAACCTTCCCAAGTGAGAGCCAGCTCTGCTGTAATGAAGTCATTAGTGAAGAGCTAATTAGTAAGAGCAAAAGGATTGGCCCAACTCTGCCAATTGGAAGCTGCACTGGAGATATTGTTGACTTAATTATCAGGTTTAATTGGGTGGAGGAAAAAAGGCAAAAAGAAAAGTTTGTGTTTTTTCAAAGGACTACATCAATACTGTTTGGGATTTTCTTTTTTGCTTGTTTCCTTTTATTCCTCACAGGTTTGTGTGGGATTCATGCCTAGAGGTGAGAGGTGCCAGGTCCCTGTGCTCAGTGCTGGGGTGGTGACAGCCACAGGCACTGGTGGGGGACAGACACAGTCTCAGCTGAGCAAACCCAGCCTGGGAGCCCACAGGCCACGTTCCCTGTCTTGGGACTCTCCTGTGCCTCCCACAGCACCACCAGAGCAGGGTGAGGGCAGGGCTCTGAACCCAGGACACACCGAGGGGGACCCCAGAGAGGAACTTGCCCTGCCAGCCCAGCTCACTGGGAGAGGCTGCTGGAGGCTTCAAGAGTCTCACCACAGCCCTGAGCACAGCCAGAGGGGAAATCCAGAGCTGCCAGACCCTGCTGGCTTCTGATCCAGTGCTGTTCCCACAATGTGCTCTGACTTCAGGCTCTCATTGCCCAGAGGTGCCGAGGCTGGCGCTGGTGAGCTCCAGGCAGTGGAGAGAGCAAACCCTTCATGGACTGGGATCTATCCCAAAGTCACTGCAGCAGAATGGGTGAGGAGCCCAGGGAATTACACAAAACCTCTGCAGTGTATCCCATCAATGATCCCCCAGCCTCCATGGACAATCCCTCTTCCGTAACAGATTTAGAAATGAGTGGTACATGGATTTGTGGGGGCAGAGTAGGGCAATTTCCCTCTAGGCTGGTCTTCTGGGCATTCTCCCACCTCTCCTAATGCTGCAGTATTTCTTTGGAGAGCTGAGACAGCACACCAGTCATTTCCACACCTGGGAAATACCTAACTCCTGTTGAAATGCCTTAGGATGTGGCATAAAAAGTCCAATTGCCAGCAAAGAATTACAGAGTTTATTAACATATTCTCCAAGGGTTATTCAAACATGCTGAATCACAGGCTGTAGTGATAACCCTTAAGTAATCTGCATTTTTGATTTAAACTCACAGCATTCTTGTTGCTTAATTTTTCTGTTGATTACATAAAAGCATTAAAATCTGTATTTTATGATTCCTTTTCTTTATGGCAATTTGAAGATAGGCAGCCTTCCATGTGATCTCTTCTGTTCCTCGGAGTACAAGTTGTATTCAAGGAAGAGCATTAGTAAAAATGGAGAAAAACAAATTCAATTGTGCAACACAGTGCTAGTAAGAAGGCAGATGCCAGAAGCATCCATGAATAATGCATAAAGCCCCTTCTCAAATAAGCTTCTTTATGCAGTGAGTTTTAAGGGTGATATGGGAAAATTTGCACAAAGATTTTAAATTTTCATAGTTGAAGCTTTGGCCTTTGTTTTGTACCCGCTGATATTTCGAGGGCTCACAAGTGTCTCTCAGTGCAGCTTGGAACAGGCCCTTTTTATTTCCCATGGCATCTGCAGGTGATGTAGGAGCTCTTCACAGGGAAAAAATGTTGTTTTCTCCTTCAGCACCACTGAAAACTTTGTCATTCTCTTCTGGTGGTCCAACACTGCAGTGAGAAGCACAGATCACTATGGATGGGGCAAAAGGACATTGCTGCTCCAGAGCATTCTTTCTTATTTGTAACATCAGCAAATTCCCACGGAAATGGAAACCTGAAGCTACTGAGCCCAATGATGCAATGAACTAACTCCTACTTTTTACAGCAGGGAGGTATTTACCTGGCTTGCATTCTTCTCAAGGATAGGGAAGGGTTGTTTGGACCCTGAAATGGCAGCTGCAGGGTAATCACCAGAGTCTCTCCCCAGTCCCTGTCTCCATGTAGAGCAAGCAGTGAAGGACCAGCTACCACTGAAAAATTATTGCTCTTTGGAAAAGGAGTGATGCATCACTGGACTTCTCTTTGTTTTGCCCAATGAATTTTTTTTTTTTTTCAAGATAAGCCGGAAGATATGAACTTATCAGTTACATTTGCACAAGGTATCATGTCCTGGTACTCAATCAAAAAGAAAAGCAGATGAAGCACTTCCTTAAGCTGTAGTCACTACGCTGCAGTAACAGTTGCTTAATTTCTCCATTGCTCTATTTCTGTTCATTCCTACACAGAAGCAGCATCCAGGAACCATTATTGAATTTCTGGAGTGAAGATACCTGAAGTTTCCTCCTAATACAGCTTTGGTAATCAGCACCACAAGCCAATACTGCACCCATTACAATCAGTGGCCAATGTACCTTCCTGTCTCTAAGAAAAATTACACTGGAACTTTTAATAGGAAATTACAAAATGGATTACCTTTTTACTATAAACTTCTTTGTCTGTTTACCTGGAAGCAAAATAATATTAATGTTACAACAGTAAAATGAAATCTATAATTCCAATGTAACTGTCAAAAGAGCTCAGAAGCAATGATAGCAGGTTGCAAAATTTCTGTGGGCTAATCATAAAGAAAGGATCCCATCCTGATTTCAGTTACACCATTGTCTTTTGGGAGCATTTCCAGGAAAATTATGGAGCCACTTAAGTATAAAGAGAGAGCCAACAGGATGAGCCAGCCCTGCAAGAAGTGAGGGAACAGGTTCTTTGCACAGGCTGCCTCCTGTGCAAATCAACTCATCTCCCTGGCCCCCTGATGCTTCACAGTCCTGGAGTAAGGACAGCAACTCCCACAGAATGAACACAGCACTGGCACCAGGACCATGGCAGAGCTCCCAGAACAGCCAGGGACTCAGGAGGACACGTGCATCAGGCCAGCATTGGAATCATTTAGCTTCAGGATACTCACGTTTCCAAACCAACGAGACCATCAGTAAGAAAAGGATGGACCCCACTAGGACACAGGCAATGAGAATGGCAGATCTGGGAAACTGGAAGGGAGAAGAGAGAGACTGAAAAGGCTTTGGTAGCACATTTCCTTCAGAGCTATTTGCACAGGAGGGGCTGCACTGGTGCTCAGAGCACTGGGCTGCAGTTGGCAATGCTGTTCTGAGCTTGCCTGTGCAAGGTGCTGGGAAGACACTTCGAGTTGATAATGATAAACAATTAATTACCCTTTCAGTATTTAATAAACCTTATTCTGAAATATTGAAACTAGATTCAGCTTATTCCACATGAACTTCTCAATAAGGTGCCCAAAGTAGAAGTAGGAGCTCAGTCACCCCCACCCTCCTCTTAGAGATGGGGAGGTGTAACACCCTCCTTCCTAACTTGCGTTTTACCTCGAGGATGTTACCTCCCCTCTCTCACAGGGATGCCAAGGGATCAGTTTTTTCTGAGGTGTCCAAATCAGATGGAATGCTCAGGCTTTGGCTCTAGCCACTGAAAAGATGAACAGGTAGTTCCTGAGCTTCTAAATAACAGTTCAAGCCACTGTTTGCAGAAGCTCTCTCTGTAGTAGGAATACACTGAAAAATGCTTGCATGTCCCGCTACCCTGATTTCTACTCAAACACTCTTGAAACTTACAGGAAGTTTTACCTTATTTCCTCTATCTTCATATTTCCCAGCACTGCCATCTGAATTTGCTGAAACCTCTGAAAATGAAAGAGATTGAAATTATTACTGGCACAGCCACCTGAAGGAGTGAGGGCTGCAGCGGCTGTCACTGCTTCAGTCGAGGAGTAATGAACTCTCAGGGAATGAGAAGGACAAAAGCACCTTGCAACCAGAAGAGAAGGATCAGTTTCCACCACAAATGGTGGCTGAGGAAGCTGTGGGAAACCCCAGCCTTCATCAAGAAGGAGGAAAACCCAGGGACACCTTCCACATCCCAGGTTACTCCAAGTCCCATCCAGCCTGGCCTTGGACACCTCCAGGGATGGGGCAGCCACACCTTCTCTGGGCACCCTCTGCCAGGGCCTCCCCACCCTCACAGGGAAGAATTTTTCCTAATATCCAGTCTAAACCTACCCTCAGTCAGTTTGAAGCCATTCTCTCTTCTCCTGTCACTACATATTCTTGTAAATAGTGTCTCTCCAAGATATAATCCCATTGCTTTTTTTTTTTAACTTTTCAGAGTATGTTATCCCATTAATAACCTAATCTGTCCCAAATATCTCAGTTCTGACCAGTCCCCTGTGAGAGCTGTGTTGATGTGTCTCCACATCCCCTGTGCTTGTATTTTATCAAAGACATGGACAGGGCATGGGTAGCTCATGCCAGTGTGAGTAGAAATTTGTACAAAAAATACTAAAAATCCTGGGAATGTGTGAACACTGCATTTTGTCATGTCTGTTTAATGACACTCCACTCACACACTGTACTTCAGAACTACCCCAAATCCACAAGAAATGCAGATGTAGCAGGTCCAACAAGTCAAAGTTAAATTTTATGGCAACATGTGCAGCCTGGCTGATGGGACCAACTATTGCTGCTCACTTTGATACTCAAAAGAGCAAAGATATTTTTGGGGTGTGAAGTATGGCTGGTCCTGGCAGGATTGTAGCTGGGGGAAAGCAAGTGAAGAGAGAAGAGACATTATATCAGAGCCATTAGATCAGAAATTGCTTGAGGAGCCATCCACCCCAGGCACACCAACCTATCTGCCAAAAATTGCTCTTGGAGATGGAGGGCTCTTAACCCTGGGTTTCTCTCCAGCTGTTCTAACATCAATGTTAGAATGTTCAGCAACAAATCAGCCTTCCCTTGCCTTACAGCAAGCCTGAGCTGGGTGCATTTAGTGCATTATTTCTCAGAGTGAACGAAACAGAGCCAAGAACTGGACTTGGCTTATGGCTTTCACCAGACACCAGCAAATTGTGCTGCAGCATTTTCACACCTTGTGACAGTTCAACACAAGGTTTTGCACGGGTGGGAGTGACTCACACCAACAGGGCACATCTGCTGCTGTTGCTGCTGTTGTGGTGGCTTTTTCCAGCTCATTATCACAACTCAAGCTGCCCCAAGAATCCTGGAGCTCAGACCCTTTGTAAAACTTGATATTTACAATGACAAAATACAGGCATTATCCATCACACCAGAGGGGAGACAAGTGAGACTGGAATGAGAAACCCTCACAAATGTTCAAGAGACCAGTTTAGTCTCTTCTGTGAGCCCTGTCCAGGGGCATTAAGGAACACTTTCTGCTGTAAGTCTTTAGTCTATCAAAAGAAGACCTGCAAAAATCAAAATACTGTGGGTTTGAAAATTAAGAGAGTCATGGCTCTTACTGGAACTAAGAGTCCAAATACAATATATCGTCCTTGAATTTTAGCATTAAATTCTCTGTTGAGGGCACAACACTTGGGAAAGATTTAAAATGGAAATCTCAATGGACTCATAGTGATGACAAATCAGACATCTGAGAGTTCAGCCATGTTGAAAAGTTTGGTTTTTGACTTCTCTCAGACCTGAAATACCTGACAATCATGAGTTATTCAAAACCAACTTCCTTTGGAGGTATAAAAACATGCCTTTCTCAGCTGTTGTTACATTGTGATTTCAAACAATTTCTGTGTGGACCCTGGATAATGCCAGCTGCAATGAATAATCATCAGTACGTGTTTGGTGCACTCTTAAGAACACTCAACAGTTTTGTTGATGCCAACTTTTTAATTTCTCTGAGCAAGCAACTTGTAATGTTCTCCTACTCACCCCTGACTGACATCTCTTCCATTAGGACAGAGGTGGTGGTTTCCTCTGCACTTGGAAGTGTACCTGGGAATTCAGTAGGCACTGAAACAAAGTAAAAAGTAATGCTGATAAAGATCACTAAATAGAAGGGTCACCATATGGCATTCAAATCTGTGCAGACATCAATCTGTGGAAAGGAAGTCAGTAATGTGGATGAAGTAACAACCCACAAATGGTTTGATAACAGATCACTCTGATCACTAATAACAGCAGCAGCCTTCATATGAGATGAGAATGTAAACACTCAATTTAAACATGTTTTGAATTGTCACTATTTCTCAAGCAGAACATACTCCAAACTAAACTTTCCACCAGGCAATTTCAATTGTCTTTCCCAAATCAAGAAAAAAAATTAGTGCACAGTTCAATGAATCTTTCTTACTCCTCTTCAGGTGCTGGGCTTCACATTTGTTTCTGTTGTACTCCATGAGGTTCCTGCCACATTATTTCTCCATGTTAAAGCTCCTCTGCAGGAAGCCTGACCCTCTGCTGCCTTGGCTGTTCACCCCAATTCAGCATCATCTACAACGTCTGACCTGCGTTTGCCTAAACCCCCTGAAACACACCCTTAGGCATCTCAGAGAGAACTCCCCAGATATAAATATAAGCATTTGGAGAGTCTCTAGGATGCCAGACAGGCTAACACAGACCACCTCTGCTCCACAGAAAAAGGGAAGGATTGGTGCTGGTTACCCTCTGTGCTTCCAGGGAGCGTGGAGCAGAACATGTCATCTTCAGTCGTCACATCAGTTCCTTGGGAAGTGGTTGGAAAATCTGGGAGAGCACTCGTTTCCACCACAGTCAAAGGAAAAATATAATTTTCTGTCCCAGCAATTGTTGGGGGAGCAGAGGTCTCCCCTGTAGTTGCTGCTGGAGACTTGGGGGCTGTGGTTGCTGGTGGAGGGGTGCTGGTTGTCAGCAGGACTGTAGTCTCTGGTGTTGGCTGGAGATCAGAGATTGCCTGAGGAGCAGAAGTTGTTTCTGCAAAATGTTTGGAGAAAATAGGAGCTTCTGTGGTGGTGGTGGTGGTGGTGGTGGTGGTGGTGGTGGTCGTTGTGGTTGTGGTCACTGGAGGTGCTGCATGGAAAAAACACAGCCAAGGGAAAACCCAGGTCAGAGCATTCACAACCAGCCCTGAGGGAAGCCAATGCAGAAATTAATAAAAATTATCTGGCTGCTAAAATACCAAAAATGAAGGTGGGAGTGTTACTATTTTAATTAGCTGAAAGCATGACCAGTCCGAGAAATTCAAGATTTACAGATCTGCTTTTCTTTTTCTTTTTTCTTTTCCAGTCTCAAACACTCCCTCCTTAACCATCTTGTAGAACTGGAAGGGCCAGAACCTTGTGTGGTAGAACCCCAAAGCTTGAAAATTTTGTTATTTTGCTTCTCAATGTCCTCATAAAAATACAATTAATAAAACAGCTCTGTTTTTCAGCTACAATCTTCTTGCTAATTTTTGCACCTGATTCTTTTTTCATGGCCTGTTGCCCTCAGCCTCAGGGGCAGACAAGCAACTGCAGCATTTTTCACCCTCTCTCCTGTTGTATTCTTTAAAAAAGACAAACAAATATGCTGTGAACATCAATTGCGCTCTGTAAAAGCCAGAAAAATTTGTTTTTCTGCTTTGTGGAGGGTGGGTATCATCTCTTTTTTTTTTTTTTTTCTGTGCAGGATTTTGCTTTATCCTGCAGCTAAGAAAAATAATAGGAAGGGGAAGAAGCCCTTCAAGACTCTGAGAATTTCCAAATATGTGGATGTTGAGGACCCACCCTTAAGGGGAAGGAAGCACCCTTAAGGGTGGACCAACCTAATGTGTCTCCTTACAACATGAATGAAACTAAAGTCTTCAATGTTGGGGTGAACCTCAAATGAAAAGCTGAATTTCATTCCAAGGGCTCCTTAAATTATAAATCCCTTTTTAATTCCATCATCTTTTAAAAAGTCAAGCCGAGCTACACAACAAGAAATGAAATATTCATTTGAAAGGCAAAAAAAAGGGTAAAATTTAGGGATTTTTTTTTTAGTTTAAACTGCACATTGACTGTGAGTCAAAAAAAAAGACTGGATGTGGCACTCAGTACCATGGTTTAGTTGAGGTGTTAGGGAACAGGTTGGACTCTATGATCTCGATGGTCCCTTCCAACCTTGTGATTCCATGTGAATTCTGTGATTCTGTGATCTCCCTTGAAAAATATGTAATCTGGGAAAAACACCTTTGGCCAAAACACACCAAAAAAGTGCAGATAGACCCCAATTTTCACCACCCAGGGAGTGGATTGTCCCTGCTGGCCGTGCCCCCAAGGCCCCCAGACCCACCTCTGGCCACCTCCAGGCGAATGTTCCGTTTGATGTCGTTGAAGAGGCCGGGGATCTCCACCCGGCAGCAGTACACGCCCGCGTCCTCCGCCCTGGCCGCCCCAATGGTCAGCGACACGTCTCCGAAGGAAACGTACCCGCGCAGGCTGTACCTCTGGGATGCTCTGAACGCCACCTTGGCGCCGCTGGTGTGCAGGATTTTGTTAGTGCACTTTGAATTGGGGCAGGGGCCCCGGCCCCAGCACATGTCGGAGATGCCCTTGCGCCGCGTCACGCGGTAGGAGCAGGGCAGTGTCACAGGCTGTCCCTCTGTCCCTCTGACAACGGGGTCGGACACCGTGTGTGCTGTCAGGAGAAGGAGCAGAGGGGAGTGCTGTCAGGCTCTGAGGGTGACTCTGCCCACACAACACAGTGAGTGAGCAACGGGTGAGCAAACACTCCTGCCTGCAGGCCACAGCTGCTGATCCCCAAGACTTCTCCTGCAGCTCGTGCCCCAGGGCACTACAGGCAACAGCCAGGAGCTCTCAGGCTTTGCTTTGCTTTGCTCCTTGCTCTGGTCCTGGCCGGCTGCTCAAAAAATACATCAGACGTGGTGAGCAAAGCTAGGGTCTATCACTGGCAGCCCAAGCACAAACTGAACCTCCACAAATGGAATTTGAGAACTCTGCTCCCATCCCATCTCCTCTCCTAGGAGGCTGTTTGAAAGTTGTTCAGAACCCTGTTGTGAAAGACATCTGGTTTTCTCAGTCCACCATCACCTCCTTCAAAAAGGAAATGCTGTCACAATTGCCTTTCACTGACAGTCTCAAAAGCAGGGTCCAAAATACTTATTCATGTGTGAAATTAGGGCCTAATTAAACTGGCACAGCAATGGGATCTGTCTGTAGGAACCTGTTCTCAGAAAGTGCACTGAGCAAGTCCTGCCAACCAATCCCACTTACTTGTGGAACTCTGTCTACAGAGAAACTTTAGTTGTTGGTGTTATACTGATTTTAAAAAGAGCACATGCACACTTTCTTTGTCCTCTTACTCTTAGTGACCAGCTTAGGTCCATGTTTACAGCCAGTACTCACCTTGGCATCTGGTCTTAGTATTTGCAATATTTGCAATATATTATTCCCTCTTAACAGTTTGTGATGTTCCTAGATTGCCTTAAACTAGAGATTTCTTCTTCACAAAAGGCACTACACAAAAAAGTTCCCAGACAGGAACAAATCTTTCCTGGTTTACATTCACCTGGTCTATGTCAGTCTTCTTCCTACCTTTCTTCTACCCCCATAATATCATTTACACACTGTGGAGCAGGAACTGAGGGATCTTTGGGAGCAACCAGACCTGTCCTCCAACCCTGCAGATCTGATGTCTCATGGCCAGCTTGCTCACCCCAAAGAGGACTTGCTGCTGCTGCTGCTGCTGCTGCTGCTGCTGCTATTATCACCAGCTACGGCCCTGGTTTGCCAAACATTTCTATTTTGCCAGCTGTTTGAATGCCTTTCCTTTTTGGCACAACTCCCAAGGAGCAAACAGATGCTTCCAACTGTGTCCATGTCTCTTTTGTTTTCTCTTTAATGGACTATTCCCTAGGCGAGGCTTTAGTCTGTGGCAGGCTGCCTCATGACTTGTTATTGGGATGACATTTCAGATCTGTTATTGCTTATCCTACTGGCAAGAGAAGCCAACCCATTCAGGTTTCCACAGCTCCAAATGCTGAAAGAATAGAGGCAGACAAAACAACAGGCAATATGGCATGAAGGGCAGGAGCTTCTGCAGAGAAATGAAGGCAGGAGATGCCAGAAACTGAATTCCTGAATACAGGATAAGGCTTTGCGAGATGGTGGCTTTGGCCCCTGGAAAGGGAAGGTTCATTTGCCTTGAAACAGCAAAACTGAGAAGAGAAAACAGCTTCTCTGTATGGAGAAGTCATGCAGTTGACCTTGAAAGTATTTCTGTGAGGGCAAGGGGTTAGTCACGAGCAGGTTAACACATTCTTTCAAGAAGGTCCATCAAAGATATGTGCAAAACCAGCTGAAACTGTTGTTAGAATTCAGGTCACTGCTTCTTGAGGAGGAATGGGCTCATCTTCTGCTATTTCAGCCCATTTCTGCACAGCACAAAAGCAGCCTCATTAAGCAATCCTTTAACAAATGAAAATTTGCCTGCTCTTCTCTTTGAAAGAAGCAGAGCCCTGAACTTAGTAAATAAATAACTAAGTAAAAAATTTGAAAGAAGAAGAGGAAAGACAGGAGGTATCAGAGTGTCTTCAGTGCAGTTTCCCCCTAGTATTCCTGTTAGAAAGTTACAGGTTTTGCAGTTTCAAATCCTCTTTCAATTTCTGTGAAGCTAATGTTGCCAACATCTGCCTGCACTGCAGGCTGCTGAGGAGAGCTTCAATACTGCAGCAGCCTGGATTGAACAGCATGAATCTTTATTTAATAAGGATTAAATAACTTCTCAGGTGCAGCCTCTTCCACAGACTCATTTTCTGAAGGAAATAGTAAATAGGAGGGAATGAACATGTCTTTGAAATTAGGAGCTTCCTGAGACCCTAGGAGGGGAATCCTGCCCCTCTCCATGGCCCCGACCTTCCAGGCATCCAGGTCTGACCCAAGGCTCTGCCTGCCTGTTCCCACTGAGGTCTGTGAGGTCACTCTTAAGTCCTTCACCAGTGAGAGAGAAATGGACTGCAGATGTTTAATATCCCATCCAAAATAGAAAGGGGGTATTCATGATTGGTCAGATCATACAAGTATACTCATATTTGTGTACAGTCTCCCTCAAACCCACCCTCAGGGGCAGCTGGCACTAAGTAGTAATTCCAGTAGTTGCTCCTGTAGTTGTCTTCTCTCCCACAAACTGGTCATTGAATGGACAAAAACATTCATCCTCCAGCCAGGAAAGATGTTTGAGAAGATTTTTTTCTCTTGATCTCTTCCTGGAATAATTTTCCTACTTTGCAGAAGATATTTAGAATCTTTGACCTAACAATCCTTTTTATTTTTATCCTTACTGAAGCTTCTTTACTGATGAGATTGCAAAGGGTATGACTGATAAACAGAAAAAAAAACATTTAACTGGCTATTGAACCTCAAGACAACTCATTCTCAGCATGGAGCTGAGTTAAAGAGCAGAAAACAAAAAGCCATTCTCATACTTCAGGAGCTCTGCAAGGGGAGAGAGAACAAGGGAACTAACACAGAGGAAACTGCGCACATTTTTTAAAAGTGAAAAAACCACAAACCTCAAGCAGTATTAACTCATAAATAAGAAAATTTTTGAAGCTCTATATAAAATTATGATCTTTTTCACTGTTTTGTTTTCACAAAAGAAGTGTTGCTGGTTTTCATTTGAAAACAATGTTAGTTTCCTGAGCAAACACACAAAAAGCAGGTGAAGACTCACCTATAAAGATCTGTATCATCATCCAGTGAAACAGCACAAAATGGGACATTCTGGCTGACAGAGACACCAGGGCAGCGAGTGGAAGAAGACAAAACCAGATCGTATCCTTTCCTGAGTCCGAGTGAGTCCCACTGAAATCTCATTTCTCCATTTCCAGATTTTACATGCTGCAAGTGTTTCTTTTCTACGCTTCCGGATAGGAACTGGCCAAAGAGGGGATCTCCTGCTGTGCTCAGGGCTCTGCAGCCCCACTTGGGGCACTCTGGGCACTTCTGGGCCACACAATTTAAGGACATTCAGGTACTGCAGTGACAGAACCAGAGGACACAGTCTCAGGCTGCATCAAGGGTGGATATCAGGAATATAGGATGGATATCAGGAAAAAGTTTTTTATGTAAAGAATGATAAAGTTCTGGAATGGCTGCCCGGGGAGGTGGTGCAGTCACCATCCCTGGTGTGTTTAACAAAGCCTGGATGTGGCACTGGGGGCCAGGGTTTAGTTGAGCTGTTGGGGCTGGGTTGGACTCGATGATCTTGAAGGTCTCTTCCAGCCCAGTGATTCTGTGAGTTCTGTCAATGTGCTCAGACGAGGCCAGCTGAGCAGGGGCTGGAATGAACGTCCTGTGAGGAGCAGCAGAGGACTCCAAGATGGAGAAAAGGCGGCTGAGAGGAGCTCAGAGCTCTCTGCAGCCTCCTGAGGAAGGGACATGGACAGGGAAATGCTTATCTCTCTGCCCTGGTAGCCACTGACATTCCAGTGTCAGTGGATGATTCCAAGCTCACCAGGGGGGTTTGCACAGGACAATGGGAAGTATTTAGTGATAGGGCAGTAAACCCTGGAACACTTTTCACTTTTCCTCTTCCAAGACACTCAGCATGGTACTATCACCAGAAATTTCAATATTCTTTTTGCTTTGCCATTCCTTGGAACTCGTAAGGCCCAGTTCTGTTCCAGAGTCCTGAGTGGCAAGAACAAATTCTGTGCTTTTACACCCCTGAACATTTGGCATAGTCTCCCCTCAGACTTTGTCTTCACTTACATTTGCTTAATCCCTCATTTCCCATGCTTCTTTCTGAAGACCCCTCTCTTTCCCCAGCTTCATTTTCTGTTTGCAAAGACAGCCTTGGAGGAAGTTGTTGCAAATATTTTGTTGCCAAAACCACATCCTTCCCAAAGAAATGCAGCATCATCTTCAGGAAATACATTTCACTCCTTCTGACTGTTTTATTTCTTTCTGACCAATTGACAAATAAGTTCTCTGGAAGTTCTTCTCTGGAACAGCTGAGTAATAAAGCAAAAGTAATTCAGGGCAGTAAGGTCAGGAATGAAGAATTGCAGATAGACAAAATGCTGTGCAAATAAATATAGCACAGTGCAAATGAGTGCAATTCCAAGTTCAAATGATAAAATGATGGGCTGTTAACCAGGCATTACATTTTAGTAATGAGATTTTGGGCTTATCATGATAGTCAAGCCCATGAAAATATCACCCTTCAGCTTGCTAGCACTGAAAAAAAGCAAATAAAATGTTAGCAGTAAAGGCAATGAGTAAAATACCTAATTTGCTATATTCTACCAGGTACAGTTCACACAATGGCCAGCCCCAGCTGCTCTGTGAACAGAACTAATGAAAGCTGAGGTATCCAGTATCCTGGAGATTTTTTCCCTGCAATGACCATAGTTTTTCCCATTACTGACCACCCAGCAGTGGCTGTGAGCTGATGCCCAGCTGATGTCAGTGCAGGGAGCAGTTGAATCTCACATGGGGCACAAACTTGGGTCATTATTCAGCTACAAATTCCCATGAAGCTTCTCCAGACAGAACTGGACAGTATGTCACAGGCAGCCAGGAAAGGCACAGGATGAACACAGCATCCTATCAGCTTTGTTTTTCTAGCAAGGCTGGGCCAGCAGCAGAGTGCATTGGAAAAGGCCATCCAAAATCCAAGTGTGCTGGGAAGAACCACTAACACATGGGGCACTTTCTGCTTTTGTACTGCTATCTAGTGGCTTCTTGCAGGCAGAAAAGGCAGAGTTGTCTCAAAAGAGAGAGTTTTCAGCTCATCAGCTCAGTGTGCTGCCAGACAATCTCCTGATGGCTGAATGGCTTCCAAGTGCCACCTGCTTGTGTCTGAGGCTCATTTTGAAATGCCTCTTCCAAGATCCACTGACACAAGTGCAGGTAGTGAAAAGCCCAGGGAGCTCCTGCCTTTGTGGATGTGTATTACACTGCATGTCCAAGGCAAAGTTCTTGCTCCACACTACCTTTGCAAAGTCTGTTTACCAAGCAGTTGCAGAGCAGAAAGATTTTGCTTGATTGAAGATTTTGGTTATCAGATACTCTAGAACTTTATTTTACGTGAAAAACTTGCTGATGCAAGAATTAATCTGAATTAGTCTGTAATATTAATTTAAAAATCCTTATGGACAAGCATTTTTTATGATTAGGTATCTTAAGGATGGCCCACAAACTCCTTAAGAGCATGAACAGTTGAAATCAGATGATTTTGGAGATCCCACGTGTCTAACTCTGACCCCAGCAGAGACTGATTACATAAAACTGTGGAAAGCAGAAATTGCTGAAGATGTTTCCTGAGAGCCAGTTCAGGGACCAGATCAGACTTCCTCCAGCTCATGGAGTGGAGCCTGCAGCAGCAACATGCTCAGCCAGGCAGAAGGAAAGCACTGTCTGCAGCAGGGGCAGAGATTTGGGGTCAGTAATTGTTATTAATAGTCAAATGCAAAATACAGTCTGACAACAGAATTTCTGGATTCAGTACCTTCTCACACAAAGCTATACATGATGTGAAGACAGAAAATGGCAGAGCTGGTTTTGTCCATCAGTTTTCTGGCCCTGGGATCAGTGATCACACAAAATCAGCCCTCCCACTCTTCAGTCAGCCATGAGTTCACCTTTTCAGACTGCTACCACAGAGAGCCCAGGAGAACAGAGATCACGAATGAAAACCCAAAGCACCCCAGGGTCACCTGTCCCAATTTGCTTTCCATTTCTTCCTTCCTCAGCAGGATGAGCCTTTTCCTCCTTTGTGAGCCTGTGCAAAACCACTCACCTGCAAGACCCCACCTGAGGCAGACCCTCTGTGACCCCTGGGGAAACCACTGCCCTCCCCAGCCAGCCCCAGCCCTCCCATCTCCACCAGCTGGGACAAGGGGGGACTTCTCCACTGACCCCAGCTCCCCCTAAATCACCACCAGATCATAGCCTCAAGTCTCAGCTGTTAACATAAATATTTACTGATTTTATGCCTCATTGCATTGCTGAAATCATTTTGGAGTTTAACTCACTGGTAGAAAGTTTGTGGTGCATCTCTGAGTTTTTCCTGTGGCAGCAGTGTCTCTGTTGGGTAATTCCACACTGCTGCCCAGGATGAGCTTCAGGACAAAATGGTTTGACCAATGCTTGGTAAGAGTTGGTGTCTCTCCTGCCTGTGCTGCTTTTCTGCTCTTTTCCCAACATCTGTTTAAAATGTGTTCTTAAAAACAATTGGGAACACTTATTCTTCCAATTAAAGATGATTTGGGTGTGTTGTGTCTCTTGCTCTGCAATTCATACCCACAGGACTGACTCCATTTATTTATTTATTTAAAGCAAACCAAAGTTTCATTTTGCAGAGAATAAAAGCTGGGACACATCACTAACTGAGGAGCAATAGAGGAAAGGCACTTGGCCACAGATATTTCCCATTTATGAGGTAAAATCCATCAAACGCCTTCAACATTTTTAGGAATTAAGAGTAGTTGGATATCTGAAGACGTGTGAAGGCAAGGCCAGCTTCCAGCCAATATTTTGTGCAAAGTCCATGATTTCTCTGCAAGCTAAGAAAAGAATTTTATTAACTTTACAAAGGCAGGGGGAAAGTTGTTCAGATTTTTTAGAGACTTTGAAGTGAGACTTTTCACCCCAAGGGCTTCTCAGGGTAAAGAGAAGAGAAAGCCACAGGAAAACAGTGACGTACTTTGCCAAAAAAACTCACACTTAGTCATAATTCTCTGCACACAAGCTGTGACTGTTCTGCCCATTGAGGTACAGATGCTGTAGGCTTCAAGGATATCCCCTCTGGGGTGAGCAGCCATAGCTCCTCCAGATTTAATTCCAGGTGGACAGACATTAATATATTGCATTGCTGAGCTGTTACCAGAACAGGCCATACCTGATTTCAATGAAAATACAACTAAGTGTGTATTAAATTACTAATGCTACCAAGATTGGCCATGTGACCTCTTTGTCACACAGCTCTAAGACTGCTTCTGCCCTCTGATGGCACAGACTCTGTGGAAGGTGGCAGATAGAACCCACAGTGAACACAATTGTGCCCTTCTGGCACTTCCTCTTTTTTTTTCCAACAAGGAAGCGAGAATTTGAAGCAGATAATAAATATAATCATAACTTCCTTTAGGAAATGGAAAGTTCCACCAATGCCAGTTTTGGTTTCTGTCTCTGGAAAAGGCTGATAAAGATTTTAATTTAAAGTGTAGCTTTTATTTGTTTTATTATTAGGATGTGAATAATGCTTCAGTAGTGCAGTCACGTTCAGCTGCTGAGCAGAGGAACAGCCAACATTTTGCAAACTGTTTAATGTCCCAGCAATGACAAAGGCAGCCATGCATCCAGTCCTTAGTGTATGATATAAACATTTTCCTCTGCATGATTCTCCTCTTCCAGGGCACTGTGGCTTCCCACACCTCGTGGCCTCCGAAATGCAACAAAGCTGCACAAAAGAGTAAAAATAATGTTAAACCAAAACCAGACAATAAAATCACAGAAGAACAGATCAGCCAGCTCACTAGAACATGTAAAATATGCTTAAACATGTGATCATGACTGATAATGAATCATCTTTCCACTTATGAGACAATTCACACCTGAGGTTAGCAAGCTCCCTAATGTTGTGAACTGACAGTGACACTTATTTTTGCTCAATAAGTAACAAAAAGTAGCAGGAGTTATTAGTTTCTTTTTATAATATTTTCTATTAACTTGAAGTTAAAAAAGAAAGCCAAAGTATGTGGTGGAATGGTCAGCACACCAACATTTTTTTTCTACAACCTCATTTGTCCTATTAGCAAAAGCAGGAACAGAAAACTTACCCTGCAGAACCACCCATCTT